TAAACAGCAGTAAATACTAAATATTGAATGTTGTTGTGCAGCACGCAGGACAGACAGCGCACAATGTGCTTTGAAGTAGCAGCCAGTCTATTTTCTTTGCTAATTGTAGTCTATTGACCTCACTGAAAATTTCAGTCAGAACACTGTTTCCCAATAATCTTTCATCTATTGGGAAATAGATGAAAGATTAGTCCATTTTTTAAAAATGAATTTTAATCTCTTGCTACATTGCCAACTGAGCCACGTCGTCACTATCTACACTTTATCCAGATTCTTGAGATGCTCAGGAAACCTCAACCAAATCTTCATCAGGTATCAGGTTACTCTGCTAACTGTACACACTAATAATTGTTTCATAATGCTTATGTCTTTAGAATAAATTTATTTTTCTTCCAATTCATTACTACTCCTGAAGAAGAAGCACAATTAAAAACATCCATAAGTCATGTTGAGCTTTTCCTACTCTCAACTAATTTAAACTTCTCAGCCAACAAATTGTTACAGTTATCTTATCTAAACCATTAGAAGTAACACCACCCTCTCCTGTGCTAATAGTCTGCTCAGCTATTAGCCCTGCGTGTTGCAGATATTTTATGCTGTAACGTTGTATCTCTTTCTATTTTAGGAAGGCAAGAATCAAGACAGTTTTGCAAGATACCCAGCTTAAACCCTGAGTAGCCAGCTAGTTGTTTTTACATTTATTTCAGTAGAGGAAGATTTCTTGGGTTCTAATATTTGACCCCAAATTGAAAAAGTGGAAATAATATATATATCTCTGTTTGAGAGCCTGGAGTCACAGCATATAAGTGCTTTCTTGAAAACAGAAAAATGGGTGTTCTTGGTATCATGTACTTACCCTGACAGTAACTTGGTGGTCACTATTCTTAGCCAGCTCTATCAAGTTGAAGCCATTGTACAGCAGGTTTTCTATGCAGCCATGGAGGTCCTTACTGGAGGCGTCTGGCTTCTGCGATTGAAGGCTATGGACAGCTCCCAAACTCAACTATGTAGAGATCACAATGAAAAAAATATTGTATATTTTCTGTGCACATTTATATGAACATGTCACTGGTCAGTTTTATATCAGTGTGTTTTAGCACACCTGTTCGATGGCCCAGCGGCTGAACTCTGCCGGGAGCTGCACTCTCTCCGTGTTTTTGTCCACAGTGAGGTTGAGGTGAGCACTTTTTTGCTCCAGTACTACATGGTGCCAATGCTGATCATCCAACAGGCTGCCAAGGGAGGTGAGACGCAGTGGTTCAGGGGAAGTCTTACCTGAAAGAGAAAGCGGGAGACAGAAAAGATGGGTGAATAAAGAATAACAAGAGAAATAGTGAAGAATGCAAAAGGAAAGACAAAAGAAGAAAGTGTTGGAAAAATACATTTAGGATAAAAAGGAGA